GGTGGCGCTCCTCCTTGTGCCACCACTCCTCCTTGTGCCACCGCTCCTCCTGGCTGCACCACCACTGGGTTTTGTGGCGGCGGCGGTGGCATCGCCGCCGCAGCTGCTGCGCGAGCTTCCTGGGCACGACTAGAGCTGGCGTCTCCTTCAGGGATCGCCATCGACGCTCCCACACCTTGAAGGATGGGTGTAGGAGTGGCCGGCGACTGTGAAGGGTCAGATAAACTCGGAGGAGGGCGTTGCCCAATCGGCCTGGTCGTCATCCAAGCGTCGTCGAACGTCGACTGCAAGTTGGTTCTGGGAATTCCGTCCGCCATAGCTGAGCTTCAAACACAACTTCTCGAACAAAAGTCCTCACAGACGGTGCCAATAATGCAGATGTGAGCGTCCTGGTCCGGTTTGGGATAGATCGATTCTTTTCCTCGCCGGTAGAATGTCGGAAACCTGCAAATAACTCTCACACCGGGGGTTGTGTCCGGTGAAGAGCCTTCGATGCTTAAGTCAGTATGTGTACGAGTATACTAGAATTGAGTAATGGAAAAATCGTGTTGAAGAAGAAAGGCTCACCCCCTTTATATAGGAGTGAAATACCTGACCTAAGGCTGCCTGGATTTGATGAGCTGGCTGCCCAAGATGCCCGTCTGTACTCTGACACACAGCGCGCATGTCAGAGGTGGCGCGGGGCGTTGGGAGCTGTCAGAGGTGGTTGTCACTATCAACCAATAAGTTCTCGACACGTGTCCTCCTGCACATGGGATGAATATTCTTCTGAAATTCTGTTAGAGGCTCTTTCACGCGCCCGTGACTAGGCCGATCTATGAAGTGTTAAGTCCACGAAGTGGTCGACCGATCGAGGTCGACTGAACTGCTCGATCGTTCATCTATTCAAAGGATAGATTGGTCGACTGCATAGCTGGTCGACTGGTTGACTGGTTGATTTTGGCTCGACTTCCTCACGGTATGACCTTCTCGACCGGTCAGCAGACCGGTTTAGCCTTGTGGGTATAATATCATACATCACACGTTATAAAACAACACGTTGCACTTTATAATGCAACACGTTGCATCTTATAAAACAACACGTTACACTTTATCACCGCACTTCACAATTAATGCCAACATCTGGCATCAAAATATTACGCAAAATAAATCTATAAAACATATATAAATAATATTTTAATATCCTTTACATCATCTATCCATAAAAAAAAAAGCATGTCAACATAACAAAATTTCAGTGTTGCATTTTATATTTCGATACGTTGCACTTTATACGACATTACACTGCAACATATAATACAACATGTTGCACCTTATAAATCAACAACGCTGCACCTACCAATATTACAGTAATTATGCTAATCGATCGAATAATATTAGTTGGTTAAAGGCCAGAATTAGTTTTTTTATAAATAAATAAAATAACCGAACATGCCAAACTATATGAGAAAATATACCGATTTTTTTATATCTTTTATGAAAAATAACAATATTTTTCTATCTATATTTTTTTGTGTATTGCTATTGCACTTTATGATTATACGACTTGCACATAAATATACCAGATTGCACCAAAATCAAAAAAGACCCAATGAACATAAATTCTTTACAAAAATTATATATTTTAGTTCGATTATTATTATTATTATTATTATTTTATATATTGGTTATTTCGGTATGATGACATTTTTTCTTATTCGAATATGCCAATATAAAAAAAATATATTACAAAAATATTAACTTTTATATATACTTTTTTTACATAATCGAAATAACCGAACGACCGAAATACAAAAAAAAAAATATTATCTTTTATTATTATATTTTGTATGTATATTTATCTCAATAAAAACTATAAAATATTAAATATTAAATGAAAATGTTAAAATATTAATTTGTAGTTTTGATTAATTATCAATCTACCCATTAACTCGATTGTAATTTATTAAAATTATAGAAAATCAAGCTCCTATGTGATATCAAATTTACAAAATCAAGTCATCTTTATTATTTACATATTTGATCCTGGTTTTCCAATAACCGCCGCCACCGCCGACGAACTCAGCCTGCGGCCACTGGACCTCCGCTGACCGGCATCCAAGTCTGAAAATCTCACCCTATCGCCGACGACACCACCCTGCAGCCGATGGTCTCTGAAAATTGCCCAAATGGCGAGTTCGTCGGCGAGTACCACACCACGGCCGCAAACCACTGCACTTTGAAGTGGCCGCTCCGTTGTCGTCGGGGAGCACCTCCTTTCCGGAGGAAGATGTTCTTTCGACAGGATGTCGCCGACAGGCGGCCGGCGATCTCTCCAAAAATTGGTCTATTGGTTGAGGTGAGAAAGCCATGAATCGGAGACGGTGGATAGACGTCGGAATTAATTGGCAGACGACAGGGAAAAGCCGGAATTATGGAGAGAATTTTAATTTTTTTTACTTACATGTACATTTCGTCGGGGAGAGAGGTATATTGAGAAAGAGGAGAGAGGAGAGAGAGGAGTGACTATAATTATGGTGGGGCCCACTGGTTTGGTGATGTGGTCAAATTACATATTTATCCTGAATGGCTACATTTGATCCAATAATATTCAGTTATTTACAATTATACCACCGCAAATTTGGCTGTTTTTAATTAATTTTGATTTCATCATGATCATTGATGTGGTAGATCCAATGCTCCAAATTCATTCTTATTTCTTTCATTGTGAGTCATTCTCGTATGATCCCTTACCTATATATATAATTGCTAGCTTAGCAATAAATTTTACCTAATAAATAAACCTAATAAATTTTACCTACGTGGCAAATCATTAAATAAAACCTAATAAATGAAACCTAATAAATGTTACTTATATGGCAATTAATACACCCTATCTCATTAATAATAAAATATTACATTACACTTTTTTGGGTTAATAAGACAAAAACCATTATATTTTTTTAACTGAGTAATAACTATATTTTTATTGAATAACATAATAGTATTTACTAAATCATATAATAGTTAATATTTAAATTACTAATTATATTTTACATTCAGTGAACATAAAAGTTACATAAAATTATATTTTACACTAAAATCAATATTATATTTTTTATATGATTAAGAGATTGCTTTTTCAATAAATTATTTTTTAATGTCATAGTAAAATCTCAAAATCTTATAAGCAATTTTTATAATAAATTTAAATATTTTTCAGCTAATTAATTGGTCCTGATCATTCAAAATTACAAAATTTATATTTTTATTACATTTTATGCAATAAATATAGTTATTCGTATGCAATCAAATCGTATGTACTCTTTAGTCTAACCAATTAGCAAATTTTAAAATAAAATTCTTTTATCTAATTTACAATTTTATTATTATATGGTAAATATAATTATAATACTATATGGTAAATATTGTTATTGAACTTATAATTTTAATATTACATGCATACAAAAAATTACAATATTTAATTTTATATACATCTATGCAAATGCACAGGGTCGAACACTAGTTATTATTATTATTATTAGTATTATTATTAATATTATTATAATTTACAAAAAAACTCTATTAAGTATTAAAATTATAAATGATTTGGCATTTAGGTAACTATAACAACGATTATTAAAAATAAATAAATTATTATAATATTGATAAAAGTAATTACAATATTGATAATTAATAAAAAAAATTGATTACCGAATATAATTTTAATTAGCACATTTATTTTCTTGCATTTATTTCATGCGAGTGCGATCAGTATTTTAAATTTTAGTTAATGGGATATTTGCAAGATAAGAGCATCTCCAATGGCATATAGTCCATTTGTAGATGTATAACATGGAAAAAGGGAGCAACAAAATTTTGTCTCCAATGTGAATGTCAATTTTAGTATAATTTGACATGTGTTACATTATAATTGGTTGGTGAATGATATATATATTTAATAAATAATAAAAAATATAATAGAGGATGTCTAGAAGTATTTCTAGATATAGAAAGACTTCTAGACATTTTGAATGCCACATAAGATTAGTTATGCCACATGACAATAAAATGAGTAATCCATGGACCATTGGAGTTGCTCTAAGGATGAAATTTTGTTGTCATTTTCAAATATCAATTTGTACTTAAGTACATCAACACACTTTTTATATTTTTAATTTATATTCTTTCTATTGTTATACTTTAATTATAATAAGTATGAAAACTTAAATTAATATAAGAATCAATTTAATTTTTGTTGATACAAAAAATAATTAAAAATACAATTAATATTTATTTTTTTAAAATAATATCAAATATATTTTTACAAATCAATCAACTATCTAACCAAACGTCTTTTTTAAAACCTCTAACAATATCAACTGGTCAAAACAATCAATACTAATAGCTGGTCAAAACAACTATTACAATCCACTATCCACTAATTACCATTTACCAAACAAGACCTATCATATACTATATATTTCTTTTATCTTATTTTAATCATCATTGAATTTACAACTTCTTTAAAAAAAATGAATTAGTTAATAATTATTAGACATTGACTAGGCATGTAAACGAGTCGAGCTCGAATCTTTAACAAGCAGAGTCGAGCTCAACTTGTTAAATAAACAAGCCAAAAGTCGAGCCCGAACTCGAGTTTTAATGAGCCGTTTTGTTTAACGAGCCAACAAACTTCATCAGTTTATGATATGTAATAGCATATGAATTCCATATAACAAACATATTATTTACTGTACTTCATTTCTATCATTTTTCTTAAATCTGATAACTCAAACTCTAATCTCAAACATCCAAGCTGACAAAAGCTAGTCGGTATGCCATAGTGGTGGCAACCGGCAGGTGGATGTATAACCACCACGGCCGGCGGCCAAAAATTGGATTATCTTTTTTGGCTAGAATCTCACTCATCTTTCAATAATATAAATATACCATTACACCCTTTTGGAAAGGATACAATTTGTAAGACAGGCAATTTGAAGTTAAACTACCAAGCCAAATCACTGAGTAGCGCTCACGAAACTCGTCTTGGCAGTGGCGAACGAGCTCCTGCTCGAACCCGAAACAGGACTCGACTTGGACGGGGCAAAGGGATTCGGTGGCATGATCGGCATGCTCTCCCCCTCCAACATCCGAATCACGACTTTGGTCGACGGCCGATCTGCCGGGTACCACTGTATGCACCAAAGCCCCACGATTATCAGTCTCCTCACTACACTGCTCTCCTCCACCTTGTCGATCTCGATCGCTATATCCTCCCCCTTCTCCAACTGCTTGTACATCCACTCTGGGAAATAAATCTCGCTACTGCTACTGCTATTGCTACTACTGCTACCCCTGTGGGCCTCACCGCCAAAACTCCTCCTTCCTCCGACCATGTCGAGCAACAACATCCCAAAGCTATAGATATCCGATTTGTACGACACCCGCCCAAAGTTCCTCGAGAAAACCTCGGGCGCTATGTACCCCACAGTGCCCCTTGCAGCCGTCATGGTCACTATGCTCTGCTCCTTGGAACACAGCTTCGCGAGCCCGAAATCGGCCACCTTAGGGTTTAGATTGTGGTCCAGCAAAATGTTGTGAGGCTTGATGTCAAAGTGGAGTATTCTCTGATTACACCCCTGGTGGAGGTAGTCGATGCCCTTGGCTATACCAATGGCGATCTGAAGCATCTTTTCCCATCCGAGCGTGCGGCCCTGGTTCCCTGACGAGATGTACTTCTCGAGCGAGTCGTTTTCCAAATACTCGTACACCAATGCGCGCTGGTACCCGTCTGCGCAGTACCCGACGAGGCGGACGACGTTGACGTGGCGAATCTTGCCGATGGTGGCGACCTCGTTTAGAAAGTCCTCGCCCTTGTTGTTGTTGTTGCCCTTGGTGTGGTTGAGGATTTTGACGGCGATTGGGATGTCGGACGACAGCTGTCCCTTGAAAACTGTGCCATATCCGCCCTGCCCGAGCTTGTGCCGAAACCCGTCGGTTATGCGTTTGATGTCTGAGTAGGTGTACCTCATCGGCCGGAGGGCCTTGTAGTCATCTAGGAATCGCTCGATCCTCCTTTGCTGCTTTCTTTCTTTGTGTTTCTTGTTGAGAACATAGAACGCAGCAGATGACGCTACGGCTGTCACGAAAATGCTGACGAGTACAATCGTGATTGTGATGTTTCTTGAGAGACCTGTGAGAGATAAAGGTTAGAAAATTAACGAAAAATGGTATGTTCCCGTAAGACGTTGAGATGGACTTAGACATAAATTGAGCTTGAAATGTAGTGATTGTTTATCGCAACAACAATGGCACTACAGAAAAGGCACAGAGCTGAAACAAAGAATAATCATTGCACAATAGAACAGTACAATACAATGCCTCATTTGAAGATCAAAAAATAAAATATTAAACCAGACAAGTCAAGAAAATGGATATAAGAGCAGATAAAGAAGAGAAAGAAAATGTACCTTGTCTCCTCTGCTCATGAGGTTCCCTCGGTATCTCATAACATTCGGTTTCGTTATTTGCACCATTTCTCCTCAGCCTACAAAACCTCCCCATCGCCTCACAGTCCCCACAAGACGGATCGGACCAATGCAGCTGCGTGTCGTCACCCGGGAATTCGTTCGGCCCCACAAAAATCACGTCCGATATATATGAAATGTTGTACATCTTCACGCACATGGACAGCGGCCAATCCGTGACCGAATAATACGACTGGTACGCAAATACGCGGTAGCCTCCGTGACCGAGGCAATTGATAGGGCCCGACCGGTAAGTGGGTTCGGCCCCGCCCGAGCAATTGAAAAGTGTGTACCCATCGTTCGGCCGGTAGTACCTATAGTGCATCTCGAAAGGGGAGGGAGTGGAGTTGACTTGGGGGACCCGAGCCGGGAGGCACGACCCGTTCAGGACGCTTACCCGGATCACTTGCGATCTGTAGTCGATTTCTTGGACAGTGGCTCTGGCTGCAATCGGGAGGACAATGTGGCGGGCCGAGGCCCGAACCGGGAACTGGAACACGAATTCGGTGCTGTTTGTGGGGGAATTGGAGGTGGGGTTGCAGGACAGGTCAAAGCCTGGGTAGCCGCAGCGGGCGGGATGGCGGCCGATCAAACGGAAGGGAAAGCGGATGATCGGGCCCGACGGGTGGCAGCTTGCGGGCTGGCATTCGTCCTCCTGGCTAGATGCAAATCTTGGGCCTTGTAGGTTGAAAAAGAAAACCAAGAAAATTAGGAAAAGAATCATGCTGTGCCTGTGGGGATAGGATTTGTAGCTGGCTTCTGTTTTCTTCTTTCTTCTATGTTTGCATAATTTTGTGTGCAGAAACTGGGAAACTACAAGAGAGAATGTTATAATTAAATTATAGTTGCTGGGTTCTTTTGTTTTTGTTTTTTTTTTTTTTTTTTTTTCACAATGATAGATTTTATAGAACATAAAGAAAATGTCCAAATGCAAGGGCTACCCATGGGTAGAATGAGAGGAGTGCCATGAAGGCCACCTAGAAAAAACTAAACTAAACTAAACTAAACTACAACAAATCAACAATCGCAAGCATAGTCTGAGGCTATGAGTAATCGGAAATGTGACCTGATGTAGTTGTACTCAAGAGGTGAGTACCAAGCAAAAAAGATAATCCTGCCACTGAGATCAAGTCACTTAGCTGGATCATCACTACTATAACCAAAGAGAAATGAACATACTAAGACTAAGAGAAGAACTACAAATGAAGAGAACTA